CCTGGGTTCTGGCGATGTGGCAGTCCTGTCCTGTTCTAGACCCTTGGCATACATTTTTCTTACCCCATCCTCACGATGATGACTGATGCCCTGCTACCTTGTTTATGATGAGCTAGATCCATCTCTGCGATGTTAAGTGACTTCCCTGAGATCACACAGGCAGGCTTTGCACTGACCTCCTCTGATTCCTCTCACTGGGAAGAACAAAAGCTCACGGAGGCTGGCCCGGAGCCTGCACCAACCCCTGTGTTCAGGAACCAGACCGCCTCTTCCTTATGGGCACATTCAGGGGCTGGATGTCATGATCTCTGCAGTCCTTTCTGTCCCTCTCATGCTACCCTCATCACTTCAGGAAGCTCTGCTCAGTGATTCAGGGAAACAAAAGGAAAATGCACACAGTAGCTATTTAATTCATATATGAACTTCTACCCAACTTTTTTTTTTAATTTCAAGACGTTTCTTCTGAGTCAAATTTGAACATCATGCATGGCCCAGAGCCATGCCCAAGAGGCCTTGAGCAAGTGGACTTCTCCACCCAACTTTCCATAAAAATATCAAACATTTTTTTTTTACTGATACAGAGTCTCACTTTGTCACCCTCAGTAGAGTGCTGTGCTGCCACAGCTCACAGCACCCTCAAACTCTTTGACTCAAGCAGTTCTCATGCCTCAGTCTCTCTAGTAGCTGGGACTACAGGCACCAGCCACAATGCCCAGCTATTTTGTTGTTGTTGTTGTTGTTTGTTTGTTTAGCAGACCCGGGCCAGGTTCAAACCCACCAGCCCTGGAGCATGTGGCCGGCACCCTAACCACTGAGCTACGGGTTCCCAGCCAAACATATGAAACATTTTGATTCAATAATTATTAACAATTTGCTTCATTTGATTCCTTTGTATTTCTCTATATGTATATCTTTCTATCTGAACTTTTGCAATTCAGTAGTGAGCATCTTAAAATGTCACCCTTAAATATTTCATCCTGCATCTCCTAAGAACAAGGACATTTTCTTACACACCCACAATACCATTACCACACCAAGAGCGGTGACAATAGTTCCCTGTTTGTATCCACATTGAATGCCCTGTCCAGATCAAAATTTCCTTGTCTGCAGATGGTCTTTTTTTATAGCTCCTGTTTTTTTGAACCAAGAGTCAACCAAGTTTCATCCACTGTATTTGGTTAAGCAAGTTAAACAAGAACCGTCTCTCTGGCTTCAGTTTGTTTGTTTATTTAATGACATTGACTTTGAGAAGAGTCCAGGCCAAAGTTTGATAGATCAACCCATGCTCTGGATCTGTCTGTTGGTTTCCTTGTGACGTTAGTGAACTAACAGTCACCCCCGATGTTTCCTGTAAACTGAAAGTCAAATCAAAAGGCTGAACTAAAATTAGGTTAAACATTTCAGCAAGGGTACTTTGTAGGTGATCTGTACCTCAGGCTGCATCAATCAGGAGGCGCATAGTGTCAGGTTGTCCCAAAATAGTGACGTTATATACCATCGCTTGGCTAATGTGCTGACTCACACTTCCTTCCATGATAAAGGTATGGAATTTTCCTTAAAAACAGCCAGCAGTCTGTAAATAATCTGTTCTACAACAGCCTCATAGTTAATGGCGTCATATCCATTAATAATTATTTAGTTATACAGATCGCCTAATTGGCACCTCTAACACGGAGGTTTTCTAAGTCACTGCCTCTCCTTTATTTGCAGGCATACCTCTCCGTGTATACTGGAGATGAATTACAGTTCCTTCTAAAAAGGCAGGGTAAGTGCTTCATTCTTTCTCTTTGATTACTCATTTTCAGAGCAGAGAGTTGCTGCTACAGTCACTTTCAAGGGTGGCAAATTAGTTATTTCACATGGACTATGTGGCTTTTCTCTTTTTCTCTTGAGAAAAGGTCTCACTCTGCCACCAGGGCTAGAGTTCAATGGCATCATCATAGCTCACTGCAACATCAAACTCCTGGGCTCGAGCGATCTTTCTGTCTCAGTCTCTTGAGTGGCCAGCACTACAGGCATGCGCCACCACAGTCAGCTAACTTTTTGTACAGATTTTTATTTATTTAATTTTTTTTTTTTT